TCTCCCGAGCTCTGCCCCGACCCTGTTTTCTTCTCTCCCGTGTTCTCCTGGTCCCCCCTTCCTGCCCTCCTGCCACCTCCCGCCTTCCGGGCCCGGTTTCCCCTCGCACTTCCACCCTCCCTCCCATTGTCTCCCGCACCTGCCATCAGCCCCGGCCTTGCTGCTGCTGTTCCCGCCCGCCCACCTGCCCCCCCGCCAGGCTCTTCCTGTTTCTCCAACTTCCCCTGGCCGCACCCCCCGCTCCCTGTCCCTGGGTGGCCGGCCCGTTTCAGGCTTTGCGGCCACCCACCCTCCCTCAGACTTCTCCTCGCACCCTCTTGGTTCTTGGCCCACTGTGGACGACCGGACCGTCGCCCCTCTCACTCCTGGGCACGACTCCCATCCCTTGTCACTGGTGTCGCCCTGGGACCCGGCTTCCTCATCGTTTTACCGTCTTGCCTGGCAGGCTCCGTCCCACCTCCCGCTCCCGGTCCGCCTCCTGCCGTCCCCGTGTCCCCTCCCCCACCAGCGGGTTTCCCCTAGCGTTCCCCTCACCTGCACCTGTGTGGCCCCTCCGGTTTTTTGGCGCTCCCACGGCCACTCGACTCCGCTCCGCCGCCTCCCGCCCCCGCTGCTCCGCCTCTCTCTGCTGCGCCTTGGTGTCCGTGACCCTTGCTGCTGTTTGTGTTTTTGTCGCTTCCGGCTGCTTCCCGCACCCCTCCCACCCTCACACACCGCAACACTCTGTGATTTGCTTCCGTTTCCTCCATCTTTGGTCCCGAGTGGCGCCCCACTCACAGGGTCTGGTGCCTTTGCCGCCGGCCCGCGTCCCCCCCGTTCTCGCGGCACTCCCTTGCTTCCGGTGTCCCCTGTCCCCCCCCACGCCCGGGCTGCCGTTCCCTTCCCACCCCATTCCCTCTTCCCTTGTTTGCCGCCCCCTCCCTCCCACCGCACGCCCGACCACAGCATGAGTGAGGATGAGGAAGGTGAAGGCTTTGATCAGATGTTTTGGAACATTGGAACAAAAAGCATGAAGAGGTTCTTTGATGCTTTGAATGTCATTGAGACCAAAAGTGTGACAATGAAGAAGGTGGTCTTCAAAGAAAGGGTGCAGCACGAGAGCTCAGTTGTCTCCAATGAAGTAGTTATTTCTGGTACTGGGAATTACCTCAACACCTGTCAGCAGTGTAATTTCATCTGTCATAGTTCCTGTCGAATACCCGATGATGGTGACAAAATACAATGCTGGGCAATAGGATCAAATGGACACTGTACTCAGTGTCCCGGCAAATGTTACTGGGATAAACATTTTTGTCAGAAGTACACATGGGAGAGTGAGGAAGAACACATCGTGAAAAAGCTGAAAAAAAAGTAGTAGGAGAGAAACTCCTCCAGTCCATCTACTGACCACACTGTAACCAAAGCCAAACAAAGAATAAAGCCAACCATGACAACAAGACTAAAACCAAGAGACCAAGACTAGAACAACAGACACCAGTAAAAACCAGGACAACACTGAGAAGGGTGCCATCCGAGACAAAACAAGATTAACAATACTGCAGATAAAGATAAGGCAGAAACTGATACCAACCAAGACAGGACTGAGCCCAATTCTGATATAGACCAAGATGGGACTCAGCCAGATGCCATCAGTGTTTGATATGAGACCAAGACTGACTCTAATTTGAACAAAGACTATGTCAGTGAACTTGATATTAACCCAAATCAAGACAATATCAGTTCTGATATCAAAACGGACCAGGACTACTACCTAGCAGGACTAAGAGCCTGTTTAAGCCCGGTATTAACATGTGTCTTGAGTGATCTGATAACAAGTGGACAGGTTTAAGTAGGGAAGGGGATTGTTCATTTTTATTGATGTTGATACTTTTTTCGAGGCTTTCGAAATTGCTTTTATTCCTTAATTTCAGTTGACAGGCAATTCAACTGAATTCAAAAACAATTTTTGAATTAAACAATTGATGTATGTTTGTGCATCAGTGATTTGATTTAAATGACATGACTTCTCTCGTCTCTCCAGACTGAAGTGATAGATTCATTAAGTAATCGCGTCTTCTATCAATTATTCCATCGATTAATCACATAAATACTCATGCTTTATTAAACTACCAACAGCTATTTCGCTAAAAATGCTTAATGTCGGGAAAATAGGTTCAATACTTGCGAACAAGGCTGAGAAGAAAATCACAGAAGATGAAACTATCAAATTAACTGTCACTACAGCTAGTGTTAGTTGGTGATCAACGTATCCATTACACTGTCCAGGGAATCTGTTTTGTCAGTTCTGTCAGAAGGAGCAAGTGTGCCCCCCTTTGTCTTTGTAGTCATGCTAATTTGGACTAAACAAAGCTTATTTGACTCTGTAGGTAATTTATGACACATCATCCCATCACAGCCAGAAACAAAATACATTTTACAGACATTTAAGCACACAAGAAGCTTTGGTTTCCAGGAAGAGATCTAATGACACTTGTGTCCTATAGTGCCAGATCCAGCTTAGTCTCCTGGGCCCGAGTTAACACTGGAATAGAAGTCAGGTGATAATCCTGTGAAGAAATAACTCCACAGGGACCAGAGCCGTAAATGGAGCAATATTTGTGATTTTGAATCAAAGAACTGATGTGAAAGAGCTGCTTCTGATGAAGAAATGATGATGTATTTTTAAATGTTTTTGTTGATTTAAAAATATTTTGCTGTTGAAGTTGCTAACTAATTTACATTGTTCAATTCAAACTGTCTTTTACACAGATCTACGGTGTGTTTTTTTATATACACCTGTTTTTGAAAATCAGGAAAATGATGTAAAGAGTGACTACTGACATAAAATTGTATTTTGTCTGTATTTAATTTTAATTTTTTTCCCCCTGTAGTTAACTTAAGTGACTGACTAAATTATGGAGAAATGACTGAAATATAAACAATAAAATTAACGTTTTGTTCCACCCTTTAGTTTTTTCTCTTTTCCTGAGGCGTTATGATTCACCTTAGTGCTCTGCAGCTAGAAAATAACTTATTTTTTCTATGTTTATTTATTACAACTTTTTTTTTTTTTTAACAAAACAACTGCATGAAGGAACTATAAATGATTTAATTATTATATACTTTTCCACAGAGCTTTTTTTTTGCAATTACATCCACAAATGTCAAAGCATGTTAATGGTGGATGTTTAGCCTTTTCTCTTTGAGGTACTCTTTTCTGGGTCGTCACTCAGTTACTGGTTATGGAGGTAGTTCACTGTGCTCTGTTAGAATACACTAGAAGACCCAGTTCAAACTTTGTCCACAAGGTGGCAGTACAATATTGGCTGTAATGATATGATCAGCCTCCAACAAGAGTGAGGTAGACGACAAAATCTGCAGAGAAATCTGCTGGTCATTTATCTAACAAGATAAAGAAATTCACCCACTAAAACAAAAACATTCAAACTGCAAAATACAATAGAAACTGATACGCCTCAACTTTGGAAAATTGCAAGTCAATTAACTTATTACTGGTGCTGCCTTTGAAATTCAGTGTAACTACACATTTAAAAACTGTCATTGACACTATGACCACAAAGAAACACATCTAACCAAACAAAACACATGTACTACAGTATTCATAGTACAGTGTAATTTTGTCATAATTGTTGGTGATAAAATACTTACTGCTAAGAACATGTTGAATAGAAGAACTGCACTGCAATAAAAGGTATAATCAACCGAAGCACCGACTGGCTTTCCAAGCAGTACTAAAATAACAGAGGACTGACAGTATTGAAACATGATCTCGTTCAAACTCATAAATGATTCCAGGGCTGTGCATGTTAGAGGTTATGGGAAGCCTCCAACACTGCTTAAAAATATATGCAGTAGGACTTTATCTCAGCGTTTCATTAAAGTTTAGATTATTACTTCAGAGGGTTAGGCTTAGTGAAGACCTGAACACAAATTATATTCAGTCTTCACTCTAAACAGCTTTATCCTGCATTAAAACAACCAAAAAGGTAATAGAACAAATGGGAAGTTTAAAAACACAATACAGACAGAGGCATGTATAAATAGCACCTATATGAGTTAAATTAATCTCTGATCAATATTCACAGGAAATGATCAGCTAAAATTCATCCAAATCTCTCATTTTACACAAACTTCCTGCTGTTTTTGTGTTTACTGTTTGTGTTTATTGTACAGTTTCAGTTCTGCCCTAAAGGCTAAAAACTACAATATAACACATTCAGTTTAATTATCACAATAATACCTTGTCCTGTCTAGCTAGCTATGAAGTAGTGATAGGAATTCCGGCTCTTTTTAGAGAACCGGTTCTTTTGGCTCGGCTCACTAAAAAGAGCCGGCTCTT